GCGTACAATAAAAAATTCTCTTTTTTTTTGGAACCATCATATAATAAAGAAGTCAAGTCAAGTCAAGTCTGACAAATTAGTTACTACAAGCAAATCAGATCCGACTCCAACAAGAAGTGCACCTTTAGCTGAAATAAAAGGAAAGCAAAGTAACAATGACTGTTTGAATAATAAAAAAAAAAAAAATCATGTAACGAAAGAAATCGGAGAATCCGTAGTGAGTATATAACGCTAATTCTACTACTGTTATTTATTCCTACTAGAACAATACAGGCGGGCGCTACGCGATGTAATAACGATAATAATCATTTATTTATTATTTTTACAATTTATTTAAATATTTATAAATATAACAACAATATATTATTATTTGATTTATATATTTTTAAATACTATTGTGAATAATATTTAAATACGGTTTACTCAAGCATGTACCTACACAATTACGCAAATGTTACAAAGTAATAAAAAGTTTACAATTTTATTTTAACAGAGCATTTTTTTATATTGTATATAACATTTATGTAATTATAAAATTTAATTCTAATAATCATTGTTCTTTATTATTTTTACAATTTATTTATGCATATACTTTACGCAGCAATATATTATTTTAATGTTTCTGTACTTCGACTTGGTTTTACGCCATCTGATTGATTTTATTTGTGGACATTTCATTGAAATATATCTTGAAATTATACTAAATAGTTCCGGAAATATATAAAACAGTTTTAACTTTTTTTTTAATTTTTCTGATTTTTCCTGTTATATGAAAAAGTTGTCCAGAAACCAAAAATACGCAAAGTTTTGCACGGTACTGTATATGTATAAAGAAATTGTAAAAATAATAAAAAACAATGATTATCAGATTTGAATTTTATAATTATATAATTACATAAATATTGTATGTACAATATAAAAAATGGTCCGTTAGAATAGAATTTTAAAATTATTACCTTGTAACATTTGCGTAATTGTGTACATGCCTCAGCAAACCGTAGTTGATTTCATATCATTCACAATGCATATTGCTTTAATCGCTAAGAGTATTTCCACTGGCGGTCTCCAACGCTTCTATCTCCGTAATGACAATCTCACCTCTACTAAATAATAATAAAATTAATAATAATAAGTTATTAAAAAACAGAATACAGAAACATTTTAAAATAATATATTATTGTGTGACATATATGTATAAATAAATTGTAAAAATTATAAAAAAAGCAATGATTATTATAGATTTAAATTATATATATATATATATAATTATAATTACCTACATAAATATTATACAATATAAAAAATCCAAAATTTTAAAATTATTACTTTGTGACATTTGCATAATTATGTACATACCTGAACAAACGTTATAATATTTAATTTCACATTATTCACGTACACCCAGTATATAAAGGAGTGCACTTATAGTACTGGATCAGTGCATTAAAGGCGAGGTCTTACTGTGGATATAGGCTGCATTAATTCCTTTTAGTGACACAAGTCTACACAAGTGTCGCTCTGTCTTTGTTATTCATTGAATGCCAAGAAGGATAGAACGATGTTTGTGTCGACTTGTGTAATTAAAAGGAAAGCAGCCATAATGACATTTAAAAAAAAAAGATAAAAAAGCACCAAGTGTACACGCTCCCTCGCCTAAATAAAATTAAAATATAAAACTGAAATATCGTTGTTAAACTTGTATTTTTTACAACTTAAGATATTAATATTATAATAAAAATATTAAATGTAATATTAATAGTAATTCTTATTAGTAGGGGGATAACCTAACCTCCACTTCTACACTCAGGCATGCGCTTGCGGTTAAAGGGGTCGGGGGGTGCCTCGCTGCTGCGGGGGGAACGCCGTAAGCGGTGGGCGAGGAGGTCGAGGGACGGTGTTAAGGGTCATCGGAGAGGGGGCTACGCGGGGGGAAAAGTCCCTAGGCGATTTGCTAGGCGAGGGGGGGAGCGCGACGCGGGGGACGGCTGTTTACTGGTATTTGTGGGGACCTTGTTGGGAGTAAATTCCCTAGGCGGGTAAATAAGGAATATCGCGCCGCCAACGGGGCTCGGCGCGGGGACGCGAGCGTTCCGAGGGGGTGCGCTCGGAGCGGCGCTCGCGCCGTTACCGACCGTTTTGGAAAATCGCGCGCTAATTTTTTTCGCTTGCGCGCGTCTGGGCGCGTCCGGACTCGCCCGAACTCGTTCGAACTCGTTCGAGGTCGCTCTTCTCGACGTTCCGGGAAAAAAATGCGTTCAAGGTCGTTCGTTTCGCGGGTCTCGATCGCCTTTCTTCGTTGTTGTTTTATTCTCGGCTCGAAGGTCGTTTCAATCCGCGTCGCGGATGACGCGATCGCCGCGACATCGGGGGTAAGCGCGGTCGCGCGGAGATAGGTATACGGATCTGGGAAAAAGGGGGAAAAAGAAAGAGAGAGCGCACAGATGAGATACGTAGTTTAATTTATTTAGAAAAATAATACACGCGCGTTTACATTGTTTCGCTCGTATGAATATATATATATTTGTAGACGCGACATTATTAGGATCGGAAACAGAGCGCGGCGATTTCGCAGTCGACGATGTTGTCAGGATCGAAGAAATCGCTCTTCAGTATCCCAGTTTGAGCCGAGGTACCCGTCTTGTTCGCGTGGGCGGCTATCTCCCGATAGCGCGAATACTTCGCGTCGACCTCCTCGGTCGCCGCGCTCAGCGCCCGGACGAAGCGATCGACGCAAAATTGGAGATCATACAGCGTGAGCAGGGTTTTGAGCACCATCGCCACGCGAGCCAGGTTGGGTAGCTCCATACGTAGGATCGGCGTGTTGTTGATCATTCCGAATCGCAGCGTCATCCCTTCGATCGACATCGGTGAGGGGGGGCGAGTTCCGTCGGAAAGACCGCGTTCCATGCACGACAATATGTCGCGTTTGCGCTCAACCAGTTCTTTCCACATGTCGAGCGTCAGGGAGACCTCCCTGCCTTGTTTGTCTCCCAGAGCGATATCCACGTACGAAGGCGTGGTGTTTGTGCTGTACCATGGTGACTTGATCGTGATATCTATGGCTATGTACTTGTAGCCAGTCGTCGTCAGCAGATAGCGCGTCGTCAGGACGCGCACCGCGGGCACCTCGACGGGCAAGTTGGTGGGAGGGCGAGAGCTAGAACAAGACTCCTGACGATGACGACGATAATGACGATCGTCCTCGACGGGCGCGTCGGTGGGAGGATGAGAGCTGCGACGCGACTCCTGGCGATAAGGACGATAATGACGATCGTCCATCAAACTGATACTTTCATATTTTATTGCCGTTGTCTTTCGCCTCCGAATCCGCCGTTTCTGGAGGGGAAATACCCCTCGGCGCGGGTCAATTGGCCAACGTCGAGAACATTTCGCGTTGCGCGCTGCAGTAACCGTTCGTTTCTGATTTTTTTCCGACGCGTCGTATTCGGCCGATGATGCGACACTGATGCATTGGGGGGACACATCGGTATAAGTAGGAAAGATCTGACTTATGTCGCGCGTGGCGTGGTGTAGAAAATTTGCGCGATCCTCTACTTCCTTTGGCGGATGCGGAGATCGGAGAGCCGAACGCCGGTGTCGTCATCGTCCGAATAATCGCTCGCCGCTGACGTTAATGAGTTATCGTTGAGGCGTACGATTCGATCGAGGAGATCGCGCAACTACTGCAACAGTTTGGCCCTAGGGCAGACGATATTTAGTATCCGCAGATCGAATTTACCGGCCGACGAGACGGTCCTCGTAAATTCGTTAAATTTGTAAAACTGCGCCCGAGTGGTGAAGTACAGATTGCCGTCGACGTAGCGGAAGATCAACGTCACGCCGGTCGGTATTCCGGGAAACGTCGCCTCGAGGGGCGTAAATTTGGCGACTCTTTTGTCCTTGTCGCATTCGTCTATCTCGCCCACCGAGTTACCGTTGAACACCACGAAGGAACGTCCTCTGTGGGTGTTCACCGCTCCGTTGATCAACGTGTTTTCGGGAAATCCGAGTTCTTACAAGGTCTTCGGCCAACCTGGCCACAGACTAAATTCCGGATATTGAACCAAGTATACCAAATTATCTACGAACACCACGAGATCGCCGGACGGGGATTGATAGGCGGCGGTCACGCGCGTGTAATTGTCGTGAAGAAAGCTCATGTGATTCAAAAGGGCTAAAGGTCCGTTGTACGTCCTACCGTCCAGATCGATCGACCAAACGTGACGCTTGTACGAGATGTACATTCGATTTTCCAAAATCAATATCCCGTTCACGCGATCGAGGCTGCACAGGTCCAGCGATGGCGGCGGCGGCGCCGGCGGCGCCGGCGTCCGACGCGGGGGCTCGTTCGTACTTTTTTCACCGAACAAACGTTGAATGTCGGCGATGTCGTTTTGGTCGAGCTTCACCGGATACTGCTGGTCCGGCTGTATCGCGAACATCACCGATGTTTTGCGCCTGTTGTGCACCAATCCGAGAAAGTGGCCGATCTCGTGCGTCAGCGTGTAATGCAGAGAGAACCTATCCGCGGAATGTTTATTGACGTAAATGTGCCACGGCTCGTCCCCGTCGACGTGCACCTCGGAGACGAACCCCTCTTGGTCCGTCAGGAGAGACGCGTGGGCGAGCACGTTGCCGGGACCGTCGAATTTGTCCGAGCAAACTGCTCCGTTTACCTTGGTATTCGTGTTATAGTGACGTAGGCGTCGCCAAGATATTATAATGTCGGCATTCGGCGTTTCGGAGCGTTCGAACGTCAATGCCGAATGCTGCGACCACAGGTCGAACGCGGCCCACGCCGTGCTCAGCTCGGTCTCGGCTAAGTGAAAATGCCACGTCAGGTGCGTCTTCGGCCATTTGGATAGGTTCGCTTTCGTTCCGTGCTTCAGGATATCTCGGAAACCGCATCACGGTTTATTCATCAATTGCAGCGTTTCGTTTTTGGGCGTTCCGTCGCCCGGTAAATCGTAGTAATTCTGAAAATCCTCGAAGGCTTTGCGAAGAACGTCGTTTCGTCTCTGAGCCGGAACCGCGTCTACGTCTTTTTGGACAGATATCCGTATTTCTGCAGGTAATCGAACGTGAGCGCGTAATTTTCGTCCGTAATTGTAGGATTAATGCACCTCGCGGCGATAAAACACGCGGTTAACGCGATTACGCGCGCGAGCCACATCGTCGAGAGCGAGAGAGACGGCGGAACTGCGATGACGGCGCGTTGCGGTTTGAGCGCGATCTCGACGAGCGCTCCGGATGCGAACGTTTACGCGAGGACGCTTGTTAGCGATAACGCGGATAGGTGGCGGCGGGGGTCTTGGGCGGGAAAAAAATGCGTCGAAGATTCCGGCGGATGATTCGGCCTGATAAAAATGCATTATTTCCTCGATGTATTTTTCTTCGACGCAAAAACGCTGTTCTTGTTATATTTTTTTTACCGCGATATTCTCCCTTTGTCGCGCTTTCTCGGCGCGGATAGGTGCGGCGGCGGCGGGGTATCGGGTGGGAAAAAAATGCGTCGATGATTCCGGCGGATGAGTCGGTGTGATAAAATACATTGTTTCCTGGATGTAAAAAATATTATTATTACATTTGTACCACAATATCCTCCTTTTGTTGCACTTTTTTCGATATAAAGAAGTCGTGGCTAGAGCGGGGGGTCTCGGGTGGAAAAAATTGCGTCGACGATTCCGGCGGACGAGTCGGTTTGATAAAAATGCATTATTTTCCTCGATGTATTTTTTCCTCGACGCAAAAAATGCTATTCTTAGTATATTTTTTTACCGCAACATCCTCCCCTTTGTTGCACTTTCTCGGTATATAAAGAGCTCGCGGCTAGACTTGGGTGTAGTTTACCCGTATTTTTTACGCGAACTATTGTATACTACTGAGACATATAATGGATAAAGTGAACGAACTGTGCGCGATATGTGACGAATTGCAAACTCACGTAACTCACGTGGCTACGGCTACGGACGAGTTCCAACAAGCGATCCTGCAGTTGCAGGATCGACTCTTTAACATCGTGCAAAGAGCGCCGCCTTGTCTCCATTTGACAGTTTGTGTCGACGAGGACGCACATATGCAGAATCGATTGTAAGTGTACAAACGTTAAATTATATTTTTCTTAAATAACGCTGTGTATTTATTGATAATATTTATTGATAACATATATCTTTGACGCAGAGGACATATTGTCTCCCTGTTGCGAAAAGCGCGCAACCACATCCGGTTGTATGCCGCAAGGATTAGAAGCATTAACCGCGATGCTGCGCGCTTTGACCACGACGATTGCAATAATAAGGACGGCAATGAAAATGATGATGAGGAAGAGAGCGGCCGAGGAAATATTGACCTTGATATTATAGATGTTGACGGTGACGTCCCCCAAGTGTGGGCTTCCTTATCTAATAAGTAAAAAGTTGTAACAATAAATAAGTAAAATATATAATTAAAATAAATATTGATTATAAAGTAGTATAATAATACTCAAATAAATATATTATACTACATGAAGTAGTAAATATAATGTAGTATATAGTATAGTAAATATAGTACAGCAAATATAACATTATAAGCTACCGAATATGTATAAAACAAATAATAAATATTGTGGCGGTCCACGCCACCAATAATACATCCCTACGCGATGCCTGCAATACCGGCAGTTTGCAGCAACGCCGCTAAGCGTCGCATTGCCGGGGCAGCTTCGCGAGTTCTAATTTCTGCACCGACGAGTATAAAGGGGGACCCCCTACGAGCTCGAGCAGATCTTCCCGGCGCTAGTCGCCAAGGTAGCAATAGCGCTAGACGCTAGGCTAACACACGGCGCGAGTCGCCCGGTTGTAGCGCTAGACGCACACCGATAACCCTACGGCGCAAGTCGCCCGGTTCACAGCGCAAGACGCTGACCGAAACTTCACGGCGCGAGTCGCCCGGTTGTAGCGCTAGACGCTCACCGAAAAACCTGCGGCGCAAGTCGCCCGGTTCACAGCGCAAGACGCTTGCCGAAATCACGGCGCGAGTCGCCCGGCTACAGCGCAAGACGCTTGCCGAAATCACGGCGCGAGTCGCCCGGCTACAGCGCAAGACGCTTACCGATACTCACGGCGCCTGGTCGCCCGGCACAGGCGCAAGACGCCCGCCAACCACGGCGCTCGGTCGCCAGCCAATCACGGTGCTCGGTTCTCCGATATAAAGGCATGCGAGACCGGCACTCGAAAACAGTCAGACTGTGACTTCGACGGACGAACATTCGCGTGGCCGCCCCATCCTGGCGTCCCACTCTGCAATTAGCAAGACCGACGAAGACAAAACGCCGCGGTTATTTCAGGAACGCTTCACGTCGCCCAAGAAGGATGAAGACCCGACCAAAAGGCGTCGCACCAAGCCCACGCCTCTACACGCGATCACAGTGAGAAAACGGGAGGTTACTCTCTCGGATTCGCGTGCGGAAGTAACCAGCGTCACTAGTACGTCGCACGTGGCCGTCACCGGGACCAACGTACATTCCGCGAAACGTCTCAAAACAAGCCCGACCGTGGTGTCCACGAGTAAAAAGAAACGGACTCGGGATGCTGCGACACAAACAGACGCCAAGCCTCTGATACGCGACGAGGCTGTTTCGTCGACGATAGGGACTCAGACGGCCCCGGAAGAGGCCAAGGTCGATGCTACCACGCAGACGAAGCAACGAGGCGGAAATCGTGTGAAAAACAAATATAACAAAACACTTACACGACCACAAATGTAAATATGTGTAAATATAGTTTATAAACATATATTCTGTGTCTCCTACATTTCTTTTCCCTCCTTTGCGATTTACCTAACCTGGGCGATTCCTACGCACGCACCCAGTAGCGGACTAAGTTAAAATAAGCATAGCTGACTAAGGTAGATTACCGCTCCGAAGGAAAGTAGTAGCGCCCATAAATATTATATACATATAACAAATAATAAATACGTGTGTGGCAATTAATAATCACATCCAACGTTCCCTCCACCGATACCGCGTTCTTGCTCGACGCCCCGATCTCACTTAGTCCCGCGCTAAACGTTATCGCTCGTATCCGCTTTGCCGTCGGCGTCAGCGTTCGTTATCGTGTACCCGCCTCGCGTTCTCGTTCGCTCCCGTATCGCTCACTCGTTATGTCGTACCCGCCTCGCGCTCTCGTTTTCTCTCTGTTTATCCCGTTAAGAGGTATCACGTTCCCGCGACCGGCCATTATTACGCACTCGGTATTATCGCGCTCCCGCCACCGGCCATTTTCGCGCACTCGGTAGCTTATAATGTACGTATATAAATACGGGGTAGGTATGCGAAAAGAGGAACACCGTTGTTCATAGATTTTATGTCGATCTTTATTCAATAAAATATAGATAAAACAATATACGTATATGATGGAGTAAAATAAACGAGTAAACACAATATAGATAGACAAATATATATGAAATAAAAAATGAGTAATACAATAAGAAAGAATGATCAATACATTAAAAATGTAATTATGTTAAACGAGCAATATATAATATGTTTTTTTACATTAAATTTGCGGAGTCGATGCTGGCGAGACATTCGCGTCGCTCGATCCACCAATCGCGCAACTTCATCACGTTCTCCATGGCGCAGCACCATTGGTGACGCCGGCAGCGAAACGCGCAATCGGCGCGAAGACTCCAACCGATCGACGTCTTCGTACTCCGCGTCGACGGTCACGATCGTCGCGTCGACGTCGCCGAGAATCTCCTGCAGCCATCTTTTCTTCTCCAGACCTTTCACGTAGATTCGCGCGCTGAGCGTCTCCTCTCTCTCCCACAACTCTTCCAGGTTGTCGCACACCGCGCGTCGAATGATCGTCTTTGCCTGGCGATAGTCCGTGTCGCCGTCCTCCCAGCGAAGGCCGTGATGGTTCGCTATCAACCAACTGGCCCTTGCTTTCTCGGAGCTCGTCAGCAGATTCCAACTCATCGGCGCGCGAAACACGTGATGCGGGAGCACGCGCGTCTCGCTTCGCAGCACGGCCATTTCCTTCGCGACGAATCTGTCGCTCACCGTGAATCCTTGTAGGTCGACGAAGATCGTCGTCGTCGTTGCCGCTGTTGCCATTGCGTTAGCGCGCGTTGGAAAAAATTATAGAACAGACGTTCGTTTAAGTTGCTCGTTCCTAACAGAGTCTGAGGAACGATGGAAGGAACCCGCAAATTTATATATTCCTCGTTTCCGGGATAAAACAACCCCACAACCACATTTTTCTGTTTCCCGGATGAGGTATCCTCACAATCGCATTTTCAGTTTCCCGGATGATGTATCTCCACAATCGCATTTTCCGTTAGATAATTTTGCCCACCACGTTGGTCAGCGGACTGTACTCGATGACGCGATCGTGAACGATGAGACAAAAGTCTGTGGTTTTCGGCGGAACGTTTTCCTTGTTTTCGAACTCGATGCGCACGTCCACGGTGGCGCTCTTCACCGATTCGTTTTGACGGGAACAATCGATCACCGCGAGCGGAGCTACCCGCGCGAATTCGCGCGGGAAGAAAAGCGCGTCGTCGTGACTGTCCCCGTAGTACGCTCCTCGAAATTTTGCGTACATCTCGTACAGCACAACGAACTTGTCGCTCTCGAAATCCACGTTCACGTCGTCGTAGGGATAGAATTCCGAGGTTGAAATACAATTTCACGTTGGCGAGCGCGCAATGATCGAACCTCAAGGCGTCGCCCGCGAATTCGTTTCGCCGTCCGGTCTGCAGCGCGAATATGACGTATCGCGGCTTCTCCAATTGCGACGCGGCTTTCACGGCCTACGAATGCTTGGTCGTGCTCTGCAGCAGGGGAAATTCGTACAGATCCCAAGAGCAAAAGCCCGCGCTCAGAAATCATCCGCTCTCCAACGTTCGCAACAGCGATAATTTAGTCACGTCGTTTAGCGCCACGTGAGGCATACGCCATTGCACTTTCAACAACGTAATTTTAGGATCCTTGGCCGGATCTCTCGGCACGGTCTTCTTCGGATCTACGACACAGTTGTGGTCGCTACGAGAGCGTATCAGGCGTATAAGCTCGTGTCGCGCGTTTATCACCACGCGTCTATAGTCCTCGCAGAAACCCAAAAGGTAAGATATTCAAAGGTACGCAAAAATTGAATTAATGGGACGCGTTGTTCAGATTCGATTCGCTCGTCGGATAACTCTATACGGCGTTCTGAAGTCTTCTGGCTCGTTCGATGGTCAGCGACACGTAGTTCTTTATCGTGCTGGTTATGCCGACGTTTCTACACCGGTCGATCTCCACGCCGTCGAGCTCGTATCGAATTTCGATGAACATAAACGCGACGCAGTTGTTGACTAATTTCGCGTATTGTTCCTCATTCGTCGCGCCGTCGTCGTTGAGTCGTCCCTCAACGTACAGGAAACTGTCGCACGGCAGCGTATACAGATCCTGCTGCTGTATGGGTATTCGTATCTCGTCGTTGTGCCCGAACGTCGTGTTGACGTACGGATTATACGTGTGAGTCTCGATTCCGACGATGCGCTCGTCGAAGATCGGGTCACCGCCGATACTCAGGATGTCGGCCATGGTTTTTCCTCTCGAGGTAAAAACGACTCGGCGGTGACGCGTTTCTCACGGCGAGACCCAGCGATCGTAGGAACCTGTCGTTGGCGTTGCTGAGAACGGCTCTCCTTCCTCCGCCTCTTCTCTTCCCTACGCTTCCGATCTCGTCGTAGAACGGGCTAGCTCGCTTGTTCGTACAATTCGCGCTAGATCCGTTCAGAACGAGCATCCCTCCTCTCGCTCTCTCTTCGGGGATACGCGCACACACACACTAACCGTGACGACGACGTACGTGCAGTCTAATCGTTATTTCCTTGCCGCGAAAGTCGATCAGCCGATCCTTCTGATCCACGACTCGCACCGTGATATCGGTGACGTTTCGCGCGACGATCGGGAGGTAAATGATCTGCGTCGGAGTCTCCGACAGTTTATATCCCGGTGGAACTTTTGGCGCGAATTCGTGTATCGCGTGCACCGAGCGTCCGTTGCTGTACGCTCCCGCGGTGATACTGCACTCGATGCGAATTATGTTCACGCTCATGACGTCAACGGGTCCGTCGGAAACGTACCATTTGTTCGGTTTTAGAATACGATCGCTCGAGAAACCCAAAAGAGTACCGATTTTGTTCGGTTTTGTAAAATTCACTCGGTAGGCGCACTTTATCTCGCTCCTCATGGTATTCTCGTTGGCGCGAAGATCGAGCACTCTATCGCCACCGTCGTCGTCCCCGTACATGTCATAACCGTCGCCATCGTCGTCGTCGTCTTTGTCCTCGTATACGCGATAAACCTCGTCGTCGGCTTCGTCCTTCTCCGTTCGGTTTTTTTCTTTTACCTGTCCAGCGTCGTCGGTCTGCGGTTTTCCTCCTTTCTCCTTAATTTTGTCTCTCTCGCGGGCGCGACGTTCGCGATGGAGAAGAGCAGCGCGCAGATATCTGCTCACGGCTCGCAGCTCGTACAAACCTTCCGGAACGACGATTCTCCGGTCGTCCTCGCCGTAGTAGAAGCGATTGTTCGCGGACGTAACGTTCAGTATCGAATTGTACGTCTCAAAAGTCGCCAAACCCAGCTCGTATTCGCCGTCGCTTAGATCCAAAGCGGGAAAGTGACTCGCCGTGAGAACGCTGCTGGTCCCGGTCAACGTGAGCGTCAACGACATCGCGGGAGAACGTCGATCGTCCGCCCGCTCCCCCCCAATCGATCTCGCGAAGAAATCGCAGACACAGCTGTCCGCAGATTCTCTGATCGAATGACCGCGCTCTCGCCGCCACCGTCGCCGAGATACCGCGCGAGATCCCTCGGCGGACGGTTTCAAACGCGCCGAAGTAGATCGCCGAGTTCCCTTTTTTCGCGTAAGCTACTCAATGCGTGCCCGGGCCCACCGCGTCGTCGAGATTCACGATGCCGCACTCCGCGCGTCGCACCCTCGTCGGCAGAGCGTCGCGCATAAACACCCCGCGGAAGAACGGTATGCGCAGGCGACGCGCCGATCGATCGAGCTGCTCGTCAGTCGTGACGCCGTACGGAGGTAGACGCGCTAACCTCGCCTTCTTCCGCGAGGTTTTTATTTCACCGACTCTTCTCGCGCCACCTCCGCGCTTCTTATACGGCGCGAGGTACAACCCGCGACCCTCCATCGCGCGATTGTGTCGCTGCAATTCGTCGAGCTGTTTTTGCGCCGCTTTGTTGGCGCTCACCGCTTTGGCCACGCCGGCCGCGCCACCAATCAAGGAACCGAGAGCGCCCAACATCGGTAGAAAAGGCAAGAAGCCGTCGCGTTTCGCCGTCGGAAGTATCCTCCGCTTCTTCGTTCTCGTCTTTGCGCTTCTCCTCAATCCCGTTCCTTTTCTCGATTTTCTTTTGCGTTCCATACCTATGCCCAGCTTTGTCTTCGTCTTCATAGCCGCCCATACGGCCGCCGCGGCGAGTCTCTCACCGGCCGTGGAATCCCTCGCGGTGACGCGCTCGCGCGCCCTCTCGGCGAGCCGTCGATCGGCGACGTGTCGCTCGGCGAGCTCGCCGCTTCGCGAACACGCGACGTCGTGCTCTCGACACGCCGCGTCCAACGGATTGATGCCTTCTTCGCCGCGCGCTAGTTTCTTCGTTAGACGCGTACCGGGCCCGCAAAACTGATAACCGTGTATGTGCAGCTCGAAGGAAAGAGCGTTTATTGCGCGATTGAGTAGACCGGTGCCGCGCATTCGGTCGCAGTTGCGCGAGGAGGATTCGTTTCTTCTTAGTTTGAACGGGAAGTCGATGATTCACCGTTCACAGGGGGAAAGCGATTGCACTTGTGGCAATCCTTGATGAGCGGAGGCGGACTGTCTATGTGCGTTCGCTGCCACGGACGATTGTAGTGTTGCATGCACGGGCGATATCTCTGCACCTCGGGATCCGCTTGTATGTTCCGGCAAACGGTCCCACAACAGGTAAACGTATCTCCCAAATTGACGCAACAGAAGAACCTTCGGAACGTATTGCAACTCTTCCGCCGTTAGATTGAGAATTTCGTAACTGTCCACCAGTATGGGAAACACACGGCTGTGAGACATCTCACCGATGCGCGCGAACGATTCGTTGCTTTTAGAAAATAAATTTTTTGTACGGATACGGCGACACGCTCGCGCTACTTATACCCGCGCGCGAGGCGTTTGCGCACGCGCGACGAAACGAAACGACGTCCGCGCTTTCCTCTCTTTTTTTCCAACGATCGAGAGACTCATCGCGAACGAACCGATCGGAAATCGCGCTCGCGGAAAAACCCGAGAGAGAAAGAGAGAGAGGGCTAACATGCGATTCGTGCGACAGACGGCGACGTTAGGAGTCTCGAATTTGGATCGCAAAACGTCGGTCGGGCGCGACCGAGAGCGGAAACGGAGAATCGCGCCGGCAGGGTCCTCTCCTTCCAAACGTCGTCCGTTGCATCATTTGCGGTCCCTCCAATTGCGGTAAGACGAACGTTCTGCTGAGCCTGCTGGAACAACCGCACGGTCTCCGTTTCGAGAACGTATACGTGTACTCAAAATCTCTGCAACAACCGAAGTATCGATACCTCGAACGATTGTTCGAGCCTATATACGAGATCGGCTATCACGCGTTTTCCGACAATCGCGACGTCGTTCCGCCCGACGAGGCACTTCCCGACTCGGTCTTCGTCTTCGACGACGTGGCCTGCGACAAGCAGGACAGAATGAGGGAGTACTTTTCTATGGGCCGACATTCGAATATTGATTGCTTCTATCTCTGTCAGACGTACGCCAAGATACCGAAACATCTCGTGCGCAATAACGCAAATCTGCTGATCCTGTTCAGGCAGGACGGCACCAATCTGCGACACGTGTACGACGATCACGTGAACATCGACATGTCGTACGACGAGTTTCGCGCCTTCTGTCGCGAGTGTTGGCGGCGCACCTACGGTTTCGCCGTGATAGACAAGGACAGCGCGTTGCGAGGCGGACGGTACAGACGGGGCTTCCACGATTTCGCCGTGCTGTAGGGCCGATCAGTGCGCCTCGCCGAACGACGTGAGTATGAGCGCGATCGCAGAAGAGAGAACCGCGCGAAAGATAGCCAAGACGCGCGCCTCGATTCGCAGGAAGTACGCCGCTCTCAGGGCCGGGAAAATGGAGAGCGAGATCGCTCTGGAAAAGAGGTACGAGCCGGTATCGTCAAACCTCTGAAACGGCTCGCCGATGACGTGAACGTAGGGGTAAAAGACCGGGCAAGATCGACGACGACGACGGCGCTGGCTTTACATTCGCGAAAAAGATGAAAGCTACGAAGAGAGCGAAGAAAGACAGCGAGAACGGCGACGACGACGACGACGATGCTGGCGCCGACCTGGAGCGCGATTACGGGGAGGACAACGACGTATTCGCGCCAATCGGGACAACCACAACGGCGGAAAAAAAAGAGTCGCGTCCGGCACGGCTGAGTTCGGCTCCCACGACGACGACCATGATGAGCTTCACGCCGATCCGCGACGATTCGGTCCAGTTTTTACCCAGAGAACGCGAGATCGTCTCGGAGACGACGACTCCATTTCCCACGTTGGAGACGTTCGCCGGGAAATCTTTGAGTACGGCGGAAAGTCGCGACGTTCTGACTAGCCAACTAGGACTGTTAGGGCGGGAATACTTGGGTGCTTTTCTGGGCGGCGACAAAAACAAGGAAATCGACACCGTTTACGGAGTGCATTTTGGCGAGAAAGGCACGATGCTGGGAAACAAGCGATTCAAGATGAACCCGGATGACTCCATGGTCATCGACGGTGTACCGTACAAAGGCACGCGCGGACTGTACGAGTTGATCTTCATGAGAAAACCCGACGCTAAAATGTACACGAAGAAGGACAAACTAACGTACAGGAGTATACTTTTCTCCACCAGCGCTCACAAACGCGGCAGCAAAGCCCACAATCCCGTCAAGGGTAACAAGGGACCAAAGTACAAAAATATAATAGCGCCGCTCGTAAACTTGTCTTACAGAGTTGGAACTACGAAGGGTGCCGGGCTACCGTCGGCCATGCGACTGACCGACAAAGCTATCGATTACGTTAACTGGGACGATCCCAACGAGCTGGTCAATAGACTTCGACTGCTGGACGCCTCTCGTCGGGCCGGCAACGACGCTCACGACAACGAAATCCTGTCGATAATCGAGAAACTTTGCGAGGCCGGCTTCGTCATAAAGTGATCGGTCGCGTCGGTCGCGACGGCAGTGCGAGTCGCGCGCCCGCCAGCGCGATGTCCGTGAACAAATTTGGCATGTCTCTGACGAAGCGGGGCAGCGGCGACAGAGTCGACGGTGCGTCCACGGTGAGATTGCGCTCCTCGATCGAGTCCCTGCGCAATTACGCGCGCAACAATGCGCTCTTCGTGAGGAAGGATTTTTACGACGCGAGGGAGCGCAAGATACGAAGAGTAGCCGCGCCGGAGATCGATACCGACGCGACGAACAGGAGTTACGTCGAGGACGCGATCGAACAATCGGAGAAAGGCGCGACCGAAGAATTGAACGGTAGGATTGTGGCGGTGGAGAACAAGGCGGAGAGAAATTTGAACGAAATAGCGAAGGTGAGGGACGCGGCGCTCCTTGAACTCTTTGAACTCTTACGAAGCGGATCAGCACAAGATACGACACTTAGCCGCGCCGAAAATCGGCACCGACGCGGCGAACAAGGCCTACGTAGATGGCGCGATCGGACGGCTCAAGAAAGTCGTGACCGATGAGATCGAGAAGAAAAACGCGACGAAAGAATTGAGAGGCGGAATCGAGACGCTGAGGAACGACGCGCTCCGTTTGAACGAGGAATCCTACGACGCGAAGGAGCGCAGGATACGGCGCGTAGCCGCGCCGGAAATCGGCACCAACGCGACGAACAGGAGCTACGTAGAGGGCGTGATTGGGCAGCTAAAAAGCTATTAGGCGTTTTGATCGAAGAGATCAAGAATAACAACGCGATCGGAGAATTGGGAAACGGAATCATGGCGCTGGAAAGCGTCGCGCTCCGTTTGAACGCTCAGGATTCCTACGACGCGTAGCCGCGCCGGAGGTCGGCGCCGACGCGGCCAACAAGAGGTTCGTCGAGGAAGCGATCGCGGAACTCGGAAAGACATTGAGCGGCGCGATAAAAGAATTTAAAAAAGAGTTCGTTACCGTGAAAAATACCGCGGATAGGCACGAGGTTGAAATCATCGCGATCAAGACCGTTTTGAAGCTTCTCAAACAAAATGAGCGTAGAAAAACGTAGACTCGTGGAAGAATTGCACGCGCCGGCGCGAAAAAACTTTCCTCGCCGCCGCGTCGTGGTGCGCGGTTACGACGATCTGTGGCAGGCCGACGTGGTTGAGATGCGCCCCTATTCGCGCGCAAACGCGGGTCACAGTTACATTCTGACGGTCATCGATGTGCTGAGCAAGTACGCCTGGGCGATCCCGCTCAAGAGCAAAGGCGGAAAGGAGGTCGCGACGGCTCTCCGAAAGATCTTTCGCGAGGACGCGCGACACCCCAGGAATCTGCAAACGGACAAAGGAAAGAAATTCTACAACGCCGACGTGCGCAAAATCCTCGACGAGCGCGAGGTGAATCATTACTCCACGTATTCGGTGATGAAAGCGTCGGTGGTGGAGAGATTCAATCGCACGCTGACAAACGACATGTAGAAGCTCTTCACGCTCCAGGGATCGTACAGGTGGATAGACTCGCTGCCGCGCCTCTTGTCGAATTACAATCGTCGCAGACACAGAACAATCCAAATGCGTCCGGCGGACGTGACGCCCACCGTCGCCGAAAAACTGCTGCGCACGGCGTACAGTCGCGCGAAGATAGCCGCGCCGGCGAAATTTCGAGTCGGCGATCCGGTGCGCGTGAGCAAATTCAAAACGATCTTCGAAAAAGGCTACACTCCCAATTGGACCACCGAGATCTTTCGCATAGCCAAAGTATTGTACAAAGGACCAATCCCGTTACGTATCTGCTGAAAGACGTTCGCAGAGAAGCGATAGCCGGAGGATTCTACGAACACGAGTTGCTGCGCGTCTCCAATCCCGACGTCTATCTCGTGGAAAAAGTCCTGCGCAAGCGCGGCAATCGAGCGTTCGTGAAGTGGCTGGGAATGGACAGTTCGCACAATTCGTGGATAGATAAGACGTCTGTATTGTAAAAAGAAAGAAATACTTAGACATTCGTAGACACGCGCAACGCTTACTTTATTGTCAATGAAAGTTTACAAATTCGTTGGTTTGTTTCTTACGTGTTATTTATTTATACGATAAAACAATTTTTAAAGCGTATAATATTGTTTCCTTTTTTACAACGGTATTCCGTAATGTCCCCACGTAAACGTCTCCTTGCCTTTCGACGTCACGTATCGCTTGTCGTCGTGCGGATTGAGGGCTAGTTTTTGCTCCGACGCGGTGTTAACCTCGTGCAGCGTCGAGCGTATGCACGACTGGCGCGTCTTCAGCTCGCGCGCGTTCCGCAGGCACGCCACGTAATCCTCGAACGTGATCCTCTTCGCGACTACGTTTCTCTTAACGCCCTTTATTCTCTTGGTGTCGTCGCGTCCGAGTACCTTGTAAGTGTACATCTTCGCTCTGAGGCCCACGAACTCCGTCATGATCGCGCCGCTGTTCTCGTCCTTCATCAAACCGGGCACCTTCTTGTTGACGCGCGGCATACCGTGCGCGTTATTCTCCGCGTAATCGCTCGTGTCGAACCTGTGTATGTCGCGTTTCATACGCTCGTACGCGTCTTCGCACTCCAGCGAACATATCAGATTGCCCGTATCGGTGTAAGCAATTCGACAACGGTCGCGATAGAGCGACACCATGTAGTCGTAGTGAAAATCGTAGAGACGCGTCTTGGATATCTCGAGAATAGACACACCCACGTAGACCGGCTTGTTGAATTTTACCTCGAGCCTTCGCAGCTCGATCGCCACCAGATTCTCCGAGAAGACGCTCCTGCTGTGAAAGTTCGGCTTAGCGATCAACGCCTCCGCGCCGTATCTCCCGTCCCATTGCGTCACGAGACGCACGTCCACGTGATCACGCACGTTCTCCATCGTCTTGCCGAAGACGGCGTTGTTCATCAGTTTGTACAAATTCCGTTCGAACTCGTTGCTCGCGCGCGTCCTAAGCGTGGTGTTCAGCTCGATGTAGACGCGAAGCCACAGCGACTGAGCGAATCGCAGAACGCGATGAACGCGCGTTAGACGCATACCTAGTCGGAGACATTGCTGCAGGTTTCGATAGTGCGTCACGTAGCGCGATTTGTCGTAAAAAGTAGCAAGCAGTTTCTTCTGTCGCTTACCGGGCGGTTTGTCGCGCGTCGGGCACAACGGCAGATCCGCGTGGGCGTCGTGCAGGTCCCGCGGGTACTCGAGATCTACCTCCAAAATGTAACCGACGTCGCTGTCCGCCGGCACGGTCGTCACGTCGAAATTCTCAGGGTCGTCGAGCCACTGGAAATTCGCGTACGGCAACGATTCGCTCATAGCCCAGCCTTACAGATTGTTCACGTCATAATACATGAGATACGTAGTAGGCTGGGACGAGTCGTGCGTCGGCACGTGCCTGTTGTTGGCTCGCGCGTACCTGAGCGAACATTGACTGAGGCCGCCGCGTATTCCGCGTTCCACGAAAAGCACCATGTCGATGTCGGTGAGCAGCTCAAAACGCACGCCGGTGTACCTCAGCATGGCGTCCCACGTGTACCCCGGTAACGTGTAGTAATGCGCGGGATCAAGCCCATAACTCGCTGAACACGCGTCCCGAAAATTTTCAAATATATCCGCCAGAAAAAGTACGTTGGTCTTGAGATACAGATCGCTGTACTCGCCGAGGTCTCGCACGCAAAAACGTCGCCAGACCCTCGTCGCGTGCTCGTAGTCGCTCTCGCTCGCGGTCTCGTCAGGGAGCTGTAAAAGGCCTCGCGCGGCGGAAGCTCGGTCTCCCGCAGTTTGTTTGCGTTGTCGACGTACTCGTACGGAAACACTCCCTTGCGAGTGAGCAGATCGAGATCCTCTGCGCTCAAATCCGCGTACTCCAAACGCGTTATTCTCAGCTTGTCCTTGTTCAGATAGGACGCCAGGGTTTCGATACTCGCCGCTAAAAATTTATACGAGTCCACGAATCGAAGCTTCACGTACCAATCCCATCCCCCGTCCGTCTGCGTCTCCTTAACGATCTTTGAGAAAGATATGTAACTTTCCTTCGCGTACACCACGAAGGGAAGTCGCTCCTTTCTGTCGTGATTGTCGAAGCCACTTATCGTTCTCGTTCGGGAGAACGATGGCGCAGTCGTTCATTAAGCCGCAGTCGACGCTGGGGCGGCCAACTTATCGCGCGTATAGAAATAGTGTAGACATCTGCGAAATAACGTGCGAGGGATTACTATGCGTATATAAAAAATAACACCTCGTCTTTTCCTTATTCCTCATGTTTTTTTTCCATTTTTTTACCTACCGATCGCAAACGTGCTTCGCGCACCGTTTCGCGGTCAATTGCAAATTCACCAATCGCGACAAATTCTTTATCCAGGCGAAATGGCCCCTGTTGACGCTGCGTAGCGTATCGCGCAGATACAGCAGATTTACGTGCCTGTCCCTCTTATCGTCGGTTAACCGCAGAGGCGCGATCGCGTTGTCGTCGGCGCCCCGTCCAAACTTAGCTTTCTTTTCAATTCCTTCCCGAGTTGTAAACACGTTGATCGATACGTCGTTCTGACGTTCGAATTTTCCGATCTTTTTCAGATCTATGGGAAAAGCGATCCCGTCGAGATTCAGCACCGTCGCGTAATCGGGATACGAGCCGCATCGTTCCGCGTTGTGCTTGGCGGGATAAAGAGCGGCGACCATCGCGCGCGCGAAACACCCGTCGTTCTCCGACCACACGTTGACCACCGCCTTTTTAAGTCTTATACCTAGCGGTAATTTGATTCAACATCCCACACGCATGGGATTACACTTGTTCACGTTCACGATTAGGTTCAGTATCCGCGACAACGCCCATCCGCTATCGCGTTCCTGAAAATCGTCCAACCGCGTTAGAATCGCGTCGCACACGTGCCTATCGTACCACTCGCACAGATCGGACCCCGGGAGGAGCTGTTCGTTCCGCGTAGTGATACTCTTCACATCGGTCTTAACGTCCGCTACGAATTCCCCATTGAATATGACGTTGACCTTCAGACACCCGTGTCCGGTCATATTATCCCGCACTTTTTCAAGCACGGTGCCCTTCGCATCGTCGAGAAATCGCGCGGGCTCGATGTACGTCGAGTTCGTCACAGCGCCGCGTCGTCCCGATGCATGTATATCTGACGGAACATCTTCGCGATGTCCGCCATGTATACGTAACGGGATAGTCGCCAGCGTAAAATTATTGCAGCGATGTCTTGTTGTAGCTTCGGTCCCGCCATTAGGAAATCGTTGAGAGTGGTTTTATCGTCCGATTTGCTCGACGCGTTAAACACGACGCGTAACTTAGTAGTCGTACTCGATTCGCGTAAAACGAAATGATGCGGAATGTACACCGGGGGGTATCGAGAGGGCTCGTCGTCGTGTACCTCTTCCATGTGCCCCATGGATTCGTACTCCTTTAGGAAATCGTAATACTGCGCGGCGATCTCGGGTTTCTGCGAGAGTCGGCGCTCCATTTTGGAGTACAAGAAAGAAGCCTTTTGAAAAGTGTCGTCTATATGAGGGGGGCCGTTCTTGAAAGGCAAACGAACAATGTAACGTCCTTGAGAATCGCGAGAATGCGTACTAGCGAAATGATTTTCGCAACGTTCTTCCTCTTCGGTGAGAGGATTTTGAGAGGGGATACTTTCGTCCTCCCAAAAACTTTGGATCAATGAATTCGTATCCTCGCAGAATACGCAATTCAAAACGGAAGCGGACTCTCCGGCTGGGCGCGCGGTGCCGGCAGAACCGGAGACGATCCATCCGAAAACAGTAAGCTGGCCCGTCGGGGTGCCGACCGGGCTTTGACGGAGGCCGTCGAGCAGCAGAGAACCGTATAAATCCGCGCCGATTAGTACATGAATCGGGCGATTACAAGGGAGATCGGGATCTGCTAACGGTAAATCGCGTAGATGCGGCCACATTGCGGCTGGCTTTGTTTGAGAGGCTGTGTACGAAGTGATTCGTTGGTATACGTAGCCCGAAAATGGGAATATCGGTCCCTGTTTGTCGCATGGCGCGAGCGTGAGATTAACTTAAGATTGCGCGACTCCATTAAATTTTTTTCCAAAGCAATGTATTTTTAACGCGGCACGATGACGCCTGGTTCGCATAGTCTGACAAAGAGATTCAGATATGAAACTATATGCCAAGCCCTGATCTAGCAGTGCACGTACTTTAAATGTGCGGCCCTCGATGGTACTTAGACTAACATGCGCAGTGGCGAGAAGTACATGAGGCGGCTGCGTTACATCTCGAATAGCATGCACGGTTTGAACGGACGCGGAGGGCGCGGCCGGAGGCTCGGGAGCAGCGGCGACAGACACAGCTGACGGCGCGGAGGACGGCGAGTTAATCGCGGAAAGCTCACATTTGGTACCACTTGCTGTACCCTCGCTGTGAAGCAGCGAATGGTGGGCTTGACAGCATTGATTGCAACGTCCTTTGCTCGCACAATTCTTTAAGTAATGCTCGGTCCTCAAGCAGTTGAAGCAACATTTATGCTGTCGCGCGACGAGTCGACGCTGCTTAATCGGCAAACTTAAAAATTTATCACACTTTGTCAGACTATGATTTCCGGAACAACGGACGCACTTGACGGGCGACACATTATTAATCGACGTACGAGTTTTGTTTCCTCGTGTATTATTCGATGCGGAGTTGCATTGCGACGGATAATCCGTGAGACCGCGTATGCGTAGAGTCATGAAGTCATGAATCTCCTTATACGTAAGGTATGCATCCGTATCGCCTCGCTTCAAATTCCATTCATTGCGCGTTTGCGGACTAAACTTTTGCGATATAATGCAAACTAGGAGGTCGTCCCACGTATCGACAGGACGCTCGAGATTCGTTAAAGCGGCGAGAGACACGTTATCGCGAATATTTTCAATTCGGTAAAATTCTCGGTTTTCATTTTCGGTAAGTCGGCGAAAGAATGGATGTTCGCGTGAATAATCGCGTTACAGTTGTACTCG